CAGAAAGATTTGGTTATCCATTAATCAAACAAAATATCATTATTAAAGTCAGTTTCATTATTGATGATACACTACAGCTACGTTGAATCCTTAAAGGGTGTATTTGTAATACTTTCAAGTAATATGGTGCCCTCGCACTCCACCAAGCTCGTCTTGCATCATCACTTTGATTACTCATTTCAAAAGTCTGCATTTGTTTCCTTATTTTGGTAAACAAAAACAACATGCCAACACTTAATTGTCAACACAACCGTAGTTTGAACATAAAATCGATAAACTAGGGCTTAAAGAAAAGAGAAAGAATTTCTGGAAGTGTCTGCATCACTGACGTCCGCCATGTAAATCTAGTTCAACTAAAACAAAATAATATTACCTCCGCAAAACGGGAATTGGGTAGTAACAACGAAACTAGTGTCAAAATAAAAACCATTGACAAGGAAACCAAATTACCCTTACCCCCCGCCCCTCTTTCCAGGGTCCTTAAAAGCTGAGCTGGTATTTTAGTTTCATTTTAAAACTTTCTGAGAACAATACAAGTTAATCAAAGCAGTAGTAGTGTTTCCATGTTATGTCCCAGGGAGGTAATATCCAGGGGTTGGTCTGAACTTCCTGGCAAATCCGGGTGGGTTGTTTTCTTCTCTTCATAACTAGAAATGGTATATTTGGTTATAGGGAAGGGATACAACCCCTAAATTAATATTGAAGGTGAAGGTATTTATTAATTTACCTCTATTTCCCCTATAAGGCAACACCCCATCTGCTCCCTGGGAGCCACACACACTGATTCCATTTGCCAAACGAGGCTAGACCAAATTTGGCTAAAATCCCTCCAATCACTTGGAAGGAGAAGGAATTTTGATATTGTTATCGCTATTTCTCAGGAAGTACTTGAGGGATCTTTCTCAAATTTTATATGTAGGTTTCTCTTGGTCATTTTCTGTGCAGGGCAGCTTTTGAGACTGATCGGATAAACAACATGGCCGACAGGCGGCCATCTTGGATTTTGATAGTGTAGGTTTGTTACCGCTATTTCTCCGGAAGAACTATGGGGATGTTTCTGAAATTGTATATGTAGTTTCCCCTTGGTCCTAGCTGTGCAGGGAAATTTTCGAGACTGATCGGATAAACAACATAGCCGACAGGCAGCCATCTATGATTTTTATGATGAAGGTTTGTTATCGCTATTTCTCGGGAAGTACGAGAGGGATCTTTCTCAAAGTTTATATGTAGGTTCCCCTTGATCCCTTGTTGTGCATGTTATATTTTGTGACTGATCATAAAAACAAAATGTATTAAAAGAAGAACTAAACAGATCTTTCTCATATTGCAATGATCGATTATATTTCTTTCACATTAGGTACTATACTAGTAAATACGTGAAATGACAAACTCACTTTGAAGGTTGGCTTTCATACACATCAGTATAAAGTTTAGATCAAAAGTTACCTCAAGGTGCATTTACTGTTGACATGACTCGATCAAACAAATTAGGGGAAAGAAGAGAAAAGATCGAACTGACAAAAAACTAATGAAGATGGTACAAAGGTGGGCGCCAAGATCCCTCTGGGATCTCTTGTTTAAGATGTGACCGATTGACGTAATGTAATTTATTTTCTAGTTAATATCACATATTTTAATTGTGTCTACTTACGTGCAATACACAGTTTGTGTACAACTATTTGCAACCGTTTGAAATTTACTTTATTTTCATGTTAATTTGGTATCACATCTTGTAAATGTGTCTACTTACGGGTATGCGTTTAATTTGTGTATGACTATTAGTGTATCACTCCAAAGTAACTATATATGCCTTTTGTTGAATTCTGGCTGAATATTATGTATCCACTTATCCGATGAGACGTTTAAGAGCAACACAGAGGTATTGTGTAGTGATATTTTTTGCATATTGTATTTATTATCAAATTTGATAGGTGTAATAACAAGTGTATGTATTACTTTCATCATTAAATGGGTATAATTTCATATCTAATGTGACTAATTTTTGATTTTTTTTCTCGATAGTTACATGAAATATATCTATGCCGCCATATACATTTTCATGTTATTGTGTTAAATCAACGTCTTTGTGTCTATACGTGTTTTCATATCTCTGATTACCTAGTTGATATAAATATGTGTATCTATTATATATTTGCTAACTTCTCGTAATTGTTTGCAGGATCTTATACAAATGACCCGTTATGTTGGACGATTTTCTGGTGAATTTTTATTTATGAAAATAGCGTTTTAGGGAATTCTCTTTACTTGAAACGCTAAAAACATTATTTTTCAATATCACATCACAATATGTTAACCAGCACTTAAGTCCATAATTGTACAATATATAGCATTTCCCGAACTGAATTGTATTGGTGTATAGATTTGTATTTCTTATCTTTTCGCTGCCTTTTTCTATATTTTTAGCTACAACTTTGCTGTTTACCTCGATGCCATGATAAATATTGAGCATGTTCATTTGTTAAATTTAACTGAACACTTTATACTGTAAATATTGTCTTTGACATCCATGATTCCTACTCTCGATATCCCATAGATACTATAAACCCTTGAAATATGTCATGAAAAAAATCAAAGGCAGTTGACTAGCATTAAAAACTGACCAGTACCAATTTTGATAAACATTGCACCTGTGCTTTTAAGATAATCGAAGATCAAAGCCGGTCCGCGATCTGTTACTTTGCCGCGCTGTTCAGTTTCATCTTAAGTCAAATCATATTATTGTAAAATTATTGTGATATTATTCACTGTTAAGCATAAATGTTTTGGCTTTAATCTGCTAATTCATTTTTAATCAAATAATGACTCTGTGATTACAGGAATGCTGTTCTATTTAACTCGTTTCGATTACAAGGTGTTGCATACAGTGACTAGATTTGTGATGTAGAGAGCCAAGTCCCTCTCTGGATTTAGAAGGTGTGTTCACGCCTGCCTCGCACTCATGACGAATTCAGAAAAATGAAATAAAATGATATTCAATGATTAAGTAATAAATGATCTTATGGCTTAATTGAACAGTTTTACTTTTCCGCCTATGGCGTTTACATGTTTCTTATATAGTTTTCTGGTCTGTTTTACTTTTACATATCATTCGAAGATTATATGACGAACTGTATAGGCGTCAAGTAAACAAGTACTCAATTAAAGGTAATTAATTAGCCGTCTAATAGTCAAGCCTGCACTTCATTGTTATATTTCCTCTGTAGGGTAATCACAAATTAGTGCTACGGAAAATATATAGTCCATATCTAGGGCTGTGTATTAGCAAGCACATTTGTAAAATTGATAGTTGTTAGATATTATCATATATCTCTAATCAAATATAAGAGAATGAGGGAGTGCTAAGCTTTATTGTGTTAAAATTAAAGAGATAATGAAGTTTGTTCTTATAGTGATTTTACTGATTTCTGGAGATCTAATAAGCTTAGTTTAAACATATCTATTGCCTAAATGTTTATGCAGAGAATAAGGCCAAGTTATATCAACTTATGAACGCCTTTTCATCGAATACAAATACACGAACTAACAGTTATGTAAATCACATCAACGACATAGCTTTACAAGGAAATGGTAAGTATTAACTTCTATATTATGAAACCTTTTCAACTTTCTACCGGACGTCATGAAGTTTTGTCTATGTCTAAAAAAGTTTTTGTGTTTGATTCAACCGAGACGTTCTCATTTCCATTGAGTAAAAAGTATAAGTTTATTGGCATATTAAATGACGAAAAATATTATATCTCATATATATATAGCGATGACGCTCCAGGAAATAGTGACAAGCATTTTCAAGTCGATGTCCACAGCGGCATGCCTATCTACAAAACCAGTCAGCTAATCCAGTTGATGAAAGTCGAGATCGAGAACTCTTAATGACACCACTAAAGGGAGATAACTCTTATATAACAAAATCATATGTTAAGATCATGCAAGGATAAGGTTTATTTGATTTTTTTCAGGTTAAAGCTGATAAATCACTGACTATCTTCATCATCAATGGTCAATCAAGACATGTCAGCTTTAATGACATCCCTTCGCCTCTCATCGGTATTTATCCACTTCGCATGGATAAACCAGTCATCGTTTTCAGTAAGAATCACTTATATGATTATATAACAACCGGGTTCGTCGCAGTATTGAATAAATAGTGACATGTTTAACATCACTGTAAATCAGTAAGATACACGTTTAGTACATGAAAAAAGATATTAAATATATCACTATTTATGGGCGGATTGGTCGAGTGGTTAACACTCCGGCCTTCCAAGCAGGCGGCCGGGGTTCGATCCCCGAAGTCGCCGTACGCATGGAATATTAGAGAAAGTGTTTTTCTCCTGCCCACACAACTCCAACAACCCAGGTGGAGTATAAAATGGTCTGGGGTGGGTGTTGCGGTATCTGTGCTGTAGCATTCAAGTGAGGTGGGACTATAAATGATACCATTAGAAGCACGGTCCCACTACAAACAGAACAAAATACATCTCCAGCACCCACGCAGGCATACACACATAGGGAGATATTAGCCAGGTGGTATAGGACTAGTAGTTGGCGCCTGATAAGGCAGCTCCTGCGAATTCCTCAATATTGTATTGATTAATATATATGCTAATTGTATTGACTGTATAAAATTGTATTTCTATGTACTGTAAAGCGCTTTAGAGTGGCTTTTGTTAGCTAGATAGGGTGCTATATCAAATGTTGTATATTATTATTATTACTACTATATAACAAGGTAAACGTACATATTTTAGCGAAAATTGTAATTTAGCACATTGACATTCACTAAAGTATGACTACTTAAAGTTGCTGTATATATGAGTTCATCAAGCTATTTACATTCAATAATACGCTAAAATCAAAGTGCGTTAAAATAAGCATGTTTACCGTGTATCAACAAACCAGATCCGTCATAAAGTTCTGTATGCTATTTATAATTCTTGGTTGAATTTGATGAAAAAAAGGTCACAAAGACGATAACAAATCTATTTTTATTCACATTTCATTCCATATGTACAATCCACAGAGATGCTGTGACTTTTAATATGTTTAACTCTTACACAGTATGAAATTAATCAATTTGGGGAGACAATATGTACGGTATAACAATTACTTATTATCAATAAACACACTAATGAACAAACAACTTCAAATATTATTTACAGAATGTCGTAATAGTTTTCTTTATTATGATTTTTGTATTACATTTCTAGTATAAAACAATATTCCACCAGCAGCGAATTTACAATACTTTTCAAACATTTCATATGTATCGTCATTAATGAAGCTAAACCAGAGTCACAATACAATATATAGCTTACATACATGTACGATTGTCTACGAAAGTATCATATCAATTCACAAATGGACACATAAAACTAGTTTTACACAACAGTATAAGCAATACTCATGAATGTAGCTCTGCATAAAAGTTATTTTCAAATGATGATACGATAAATGGCGTTTTTGTGTTCACGTTTATTTCTTCTAGTATTAATGCAAAAGCCATGACAACAATCTCTCACTATTTAACATAGTGTTTTTTTTTTAAATAAGACGTCAACATGTCCCTTGCATATGTTCCAGCCAATTTAGTATGTGAAACGTATTTGCTTTTCATCATGTTTGTTTATAGTTTTAATTGTGTTTTTGTTGACACTTCTGAATGATGTTGGTTTTTTTTTAAAAGAATTCCACGATTAACTAATAGGGTGTTAATATATTACTCCATGTTTTGCTATCACATAAACATGTTCAGTCAAAAAGCATGTCTTTTAGTGAAACAACTATACACATAGCAGTGATTATAAAAATCCACAATAACTAATAGGGTGTTAATATATTTATCCATGTTTTGCTATCATATAAACATGTTCACTCAAAAAAGCATGTCTTTTAGCGAAACAACTATACACATAGCAGTGATCAGTAAGATCTTGTGAACTCTTAATGTTTACGCTATGAATTGATTCATGTCAAGGTAAAACTTTAGGTCTTATGTTACGTAAATAAAACCACACCAAAATCTAACAAAGAAACCATTGGGCCTACTGTTAAGCTTACAGAAGGTAAAAGATTGGCTTTCCAATCGTAGTATAAGGAAAGAAGTATTTTCATACTGTTTGTATGCTATCCGTTTTTTGATTCACTACAAAAAGGATGTTTGTCCGTAATGCTTACGGGTATATCACTAATTCATACATTTACAACATGATGGAAGAAGGAACAATACCCATTTCGTGTGCTTGTTGTCGGTATATCCTCTGAACATATTGTCTACCAGCGTACATCTGCAGTTCATGCCACAATGTGGTAATTGTCTAGGTAAAGCAAAAGAAAACACATTTTGAAAACAAACCCAAAAATCATTGGTAAACAAACATAGTTTAAACATCAACCAATTTGATGTCGGCAGTGAAATCATTGGCATAAGTAGCCGTAGAAATACTAGTCAGCTAAAACTTTGAAAAGTCATAAAATATCTAGGAGAAGTATTTAAAGTATTAAATACGTTTAGTCATTAGTATAGTTTGGATTATGGATTATGCTTCAATTATACTTACGTGCATTTTTCTTTCGGATACACTTGTCCAGGGGCCAAGTTGTATTGTGTTCCATTTAACGCTGTAACATGTCCAACCACCACAAATTGCGGTTTTCTGAAAAATGTAAAAGTATCTTTCTTTTTATCTATTTTATATAGCCATACAGTCAGGATTACTTGGAACCAATCATGTCGTGTCAGGTCACCATAAAAAGCATGACCCTGTTTCCGGAGAATGGCTATATCAACATTTGGTAAGAGAGTTTTGTATAAAATCTGCAAAATTTACTAAAAGAAATCAACCCGAATAATGTTGCTTTCCAGGTTAACGTATTGCTTGAAATGCATCTGTTTTTAACCATGTCTTCAACATTAAAACGCAGTTACGTTGAAGAATATATAATGTACAACGTAAACACTGTTCCGTTCAAACATATTCCTTGATGCGTGATAGATCCTGTTGCATACCAACATAAATATTAAAAAGATTATTTTTTTATTATATTCCTTATGTCTACGTCCGGATCAAGAAATAAATGTAATGTAATATATAGCAAATATTAAATGGTTACTCGTTGAATACCGTATATTGATTCACAAGTGTAAAGCAGCACCCGCACGATATCGGTATTCTGTCATTTCGCTGAAATATATATGGTATTTAACGGGGAAATCATTAAATTTGTAATTCATTATATTTTAAAATCAATGTCATCAGCTTCGTCAACAAAGTAAGCGAGATTTATCTTTGGCGATATATGTTCATGACGTCACGCTTGACAACAAGGCTGCGCACCATTGTGAATGAGCTATAAAAAACAGTTTTACCTTTTTCTACTTTTAGATGGTCAGATTTCTTTGCATGAATGGTATCAATCGTAAAGGTAAATTATTACCTTGGTGAATGTAGCAAAGATGTACCAAATTAACCACTTTTTCTGCTGTCGCTGCATCTGCAGCTGAACTGAAAATCTGCGACTTTGAATGATGCGAATGTAAAATGTCGATCTGATTGGTCAATACTTTTTAAAGATATAAATTCATAGAATTCGATATCACACTGGTTTATTGAAAACTGGATATATTTATATGTACTTACGATTCGCAACATCCATTGTAGTGAACACTCGTTAAACACATATCCCCTGTGCGGTTCTTACAATCATCATCAGACACGCCTTCACTTCGGTTAATCCAACGGTAACTGAGTTCTTCACGCAGCTTCTGGTCTTCGGCAGTAATATAAAATCCCTCAAGATGTGGATTTGTGCTACAGAGACAATTAAATATTGGGTTGTATATCAGTACAGTTTACATAAATTCATTATGTATATACTGTATGATGCATACGCATTACCAATATACCTGTTTAAACTTAACTTGTCATTACTTCACCCTCTCCCATATCACTGACCAAAAAAAAAGAGCGTCTGTGCGTTTTTGGAAACTGTTTTCCAGCATAAGTTTAATTTTAATAAATCATCTCTGAATAGTAAATATATATCGCGGGACTTGTATGAAATATAAAAAAAGTTGAAAAAAAGAAACGACATCGGTGTTCTGTGTGTTACATAAGTGATAAAAATGCAAGAGAGGCAGACAAGGACCCTGGACATTATATTGTTATACTGTCACTCTTACCAACCTAATACACGGAAGTATAATGGCCCAAGTACGCCAGTTATATCGAAAACGAAGTTGATAGGAAGTTACAACCCTTAAAGAAACCACATTACAACTGTCGATTGTTTTATCTGCAACAGAACAGGGTCCTTAAACATTACCAGAGTATACACGTACATTGTTTCATAGTAATCCACCGTACATCTCAATGTCAATGAATTCCGGGGAGAAAAAAAAAGATCATTTTATACATAAAAATACATATTATTAATTTATGAATCTAAGTAAAACACATATTATCATCTCTTGTTTATATGCAGTTTGTGCTGAGCCCGATTAATAGTTACACACACATATATATATAACCGCTTTGCATTCATGTATAATTGTCTCGTACGCGTTCAGTATTTAGGTAAACCAATGCAAAATTAGCTTATAAAAAATGTTTAGAATCGTTTCTTCATTCTCGGTACGTACAACTCCTTTGCAAGAAAGATATACATTGTATAAGGTTAATTTGTGATAATAAGAAATCGTTAAGAGAATTTCGCAGAACTACAGAGTCGAGTAGAGTTAAGCTATTGTTATGTGCCTGCTGCTACTTTTTGCGACAACAGTAATACGCAAAAGTGTTATATATGTAAATTAGTGTATATATTTACATTTGCATGGCATTGTCACTATATAGCCTCTTTGAAAGCTGTGTCGTTGATGGGACTTTAATTACCATGTAGCACGAGACATAATTCTTAGCGTATAAATACAACACTGACCGGAACTAAAATATCCATGACGGCTGCTCAAATATCGCTAGGCATTGTGAAATTTAACAATGACATTGTAAATTTATGTTCAAAATAAAAAAATACTTTTATTGCAACAAAAACAAGACTAAGGTCTGCAATATCGTACAAAATGCACATCGGTTGAATCACCAATACCGGCAATGGAAACAATTTTAACGCTCATGCATTTTTTCAAAAATATCGTCTGTTACACTGCACTGATCGACAGGGGTTCGTTACAAATGTTTGAAATACAAATATTTTATAGACCTACTGACACATATGTTACAGACCTACTGATATGAGTGTCAGCACACATAAACATTTCAGACATTTGCAATGAACCCCAGCTGTGCTCCGTCGCAAGATCACTCACTTTCAACGCTATCAGTTTCACGCGTCTCGCAGCCACTGTTTCCTCAGTTTCTGACGACATGTCAAATAACGAGGTGTTATAGAATCTACAGACAGTAGTCAGATTCCCATAAAATCAACAAATAAATTCACGTCTGGATTCTTCACAAAATGAGCAAAGAGAAAAGTTAGAATTAACTTCCAAAAATAACTCCCTCGTGGAGGGGAAGGTCGGATTTACGGTGTTCACTGTAATTATCCATGCGCTAAATTTGTTCCGGGGAAAAATCGAAACAATTTCAAATCTAACTTTCAGCTCAGAGTTCTATCGATCAACTTAAATCACCCTATAGACATATCATACGCAATTGTATTGATACTGAATTGTGGAATAACATTGAAGTGTTTGTTAAAATTTCAAAGTACTGCTTTGTTTGCCAATCAGCACGCGACAAACACGCTGTTCAAACTATTGAACGAAATTGTGTGGACTGTCGATAAGGCGGGCATTTTAAATTTTAGATATAAATTATAAGTTAAAAAAGAACATAAGAGGCAGAGAAAACGTAAATATAAGTATTGACCTGTTTTTGTATAGTATTTATGATCTATTTGAATGATACAGCTTTGCAAGCAAACAAATCATAATTATGTTGTTTGCTTACAAAGCTGTGTCATTCAAATAGATCATAAATACCATACATAAACAGTTTAATGCTTAAATTAGAGAAACAAATCTAACAAGTAAGACTAACGTTAGACACACGCGGGCGATAGCTTATTTAGAATTCGGTATTATATACAGTATACCTAAAGGTGAATTACACTGTACAATACACATGTTTCGTCCTTCTAGGACTTATCGGTGGTGCTAGTGGCAAAAACGTTGGAAATCGAAGTTCTTGCCCCAACCAATGTTGATACAGAGGGAGCGGTGCGTAAAATCCCTTTATTATATGACTTTCAGAAATAAGAGGAGTACTGGTTAACTTTGGTTATACATACAGTATTCCAAAATTGAATTACGAATGTCCATGCAGCTTTTAATTTCATATATACTGACCAAACATGATTTTTGACTGGGCTAATTACATAATATTCGTAAGAAGTTACCTGCACTCGACAGGGTCATCACGTTCTGCTATCTCCAGACCAACAAACACGGTGAACATTATCGCAAGTAGCACTATCGATGCCATAGCAATGGCTCCACCCTACAAAAAAAAATAAAAAAATATGATATATAGTCAAACCTGGTTAGGTTGTCACCTGCGGAATATCATAATGTTGATTGCATAATCAAGGCGTAAATAAATTACAGAACAGCAAATACTTTATAACTGTAATTAGTACGTTTATAAAGAGCAACATTCATTTAATCCATTACTAATCACATGTCTATGAAAATATTTTAACATGTTACATTTACATAAATAGTATAATCTCCTACAGATGTAGAAGTGAAATATATTTACTATATTTGTTTTAATTTTGGCACAATTCATTATATATTTTAACATTTAGAACCACTAAAAGATTACTGCTGACTATTTTAACCATACACGTATTTTTAGAATAATTACTCCTGTATTAATAATTTTAAAAATAAATCTGCAATGTTGGCAATTTGGCTTTAAATCCTGGATTGTTGACGTCCACTCCTTCATTTATCGTCCAAACGCAAGATATTTTGTCTCTTTAAAAACGATGTGAAATGATACAAAGTTGTTCAGTGCGTACTTTTATCAATTATATATTGTTGAAGTAATGCATGAACCGTTTCCCTACTCCAATGCATTAGTCATTTGTATGTAGAAGTCTAAATACGTTTTTTGAAATCATAAGAGATTGTTTAATGATGTTTTAAATGATCAATAAATAAAGAAGATATTTATATCTAACAAAAGCAAATCATGATTAAGCGTCAGTGTCAGTGTTATCGTAGAGGATATAGCACAGCTTTGTTCTGTCTTTGTTGTATGACTTACACGTAAGATGGTTGACCTTGAACTCCACCAAGCTCGTCCTGCATCATTACTTTGATTACTCATTTAAAAAGTCTGCATTTGTTTCTCAATCTGAGTAAAAACAATTAATACGGTATTGCGTTTTCAACACAACAGTTATTCGAAAGCTAATTAAAAAACTAAGACAAAATATGAACGAAAGAAAGATTTACAAAGGCTCCCTTGAAGACCAACAATGATAATAGACCAGGCGTTCTGGAAGTGTCTTCTGCTTTATGGGCAAAACTCGCCATGTGAATCTAGTTCAAACACAAAATATATTATCTCCTCAAAGCGGGAACTGGAAAGCGGCAAGGAATATAATCGCAAAATGAAAACAAAACTTCCTATCACACCCTGTTGTCATACATTTTGTTATGAAAACACTAAGACCATATCTTCTACACAATTCAGTGACAACCTTGCTACATTTTGTAACTATCCTTTCCCAAGTGATGCTCGAACCCCACGTGTATTTTATACATCCTTTAAATGTAGGTATATATATGCGGTTTAACCCCTTCTCTTTATTCGTCTTGTCGTCGACAAGCGACGTTATGGACATAAAATCAGGTAAAAAACGGTCGAGATCAATAAACCATTTCAATGTTGGCAATTTGTCTTTGACGACTATACTTGTACAAATGTACTGTGAATTTTATAAGAACAATGTTCTTCAGCAGCTGATATCAGTTACGGATAATCTTTTTTCGTAAATACTGCACTGCCTGTACCGCGTAGAAATGGTGTATGACTATAACAATGGTCCAACTGGCAAGCATATATCTCTGTTAGTTTTCCAGATATCACGTACGAAGGTCAAGTAAGGGGTAAACAAAGGTAACAGGGACAAACTTAGATGAATTACTATAACATCGATCTCAGTAGAAAGCATATATACAAGCAAGATATAACAATTGCTCGGATAATTCTAATGTCAAGTTAGGGGTCAGCATTTTATTTAATAATGTTGGAGTGGTTTACGTTTTACAATAAAGTGTATTGTTAAGAGCATGTAAACAATTATCATTTTATCGAATCAACACAGTCATGCAAATGTTACGATATTATGACACCCAATGTTGAGGGGGTGTTCAGTTCAATTCTGTTTGTGAGGCCATATTGGAGGTCACACTAGGACGACATTCCACATATGGCTGTTCCCGCCGACCTAGGTTAGCTTTGTTACACTACGTTTTGCTCAATGGTATACAATAACGAAGCTTACTCATCAGAGGATAGGTCTGTTTCGCATCTTAACAGACACAGCCATTACAATGTTCACGAAAGTAAATGTTAAAGGTATATTGAAACATTTTCAACAAATCATATGAAACAAAATATTATTTGTGAAGTTTTCAAAGGTTTTAAGTCCACTTTTCTACTAATATAACTATGTGAACGAAGGGATTTTGTTTCCCGAACTTGCAGTACTTTGACCGGAAATTAATTAAAGAGATTTAATTCACCTTTTACAGAAAACCAACAGACTGAAGTATCATTTCGACAAAACAATGCGAAATCGACCTTGAGCAATTGTAAAGGAAATATATGCAGTTCCTCTTTATTATACATATTTAAGGGGATTTTTTAATTCATTCTGTACTGTTAATCTATTGTGCTTTCACGCTATAATAATTTGAGCTATAGTATGTGCATACAATGTATTTTCCGCATGAAAGGAAAGAGGTTATGAATAGATTTGACAGGGCAATGTTACAATCTTGATCGTACAATCACCGCAAACATCACCATCACCACCATCAACAACAATAACCCCCGATCACAACCAACAACAACAACACAACCACCACCACCAACAACAAAAGCATCAACAACAACAACCCGATCACAACCACCACCAACAACAACACCAACAACAACAACAACAACAACAACACGACCAACAACAACCACCAACAACTCCTCCGCCAACACAAACAACACCAACAAAACCACCAACATCATCAACAACAACAACAACAACAACAATAACACGACAACCACAAACAACATCAACAGCACAACCAACAACAACACGACCACAATCACCGTAAAGAACACGATCATAACAAACAACAGCAACTAGAACAACACTCACCAACACCACCAACGCCAACACCACCACCGCCACCACCACCGCCAACACCACCACCACCACCACCAACAACAACAACACAACCACCAACAACACCTCCGCCAACACAAACAACACCAACAGCACCACCATCACCAGCAACATCAACAACAACAACAACAACACCACCAACATCAACGACAACAACAACACGACCACCACCAACACCAACAACAACACCGTAAACAACAATATCATAACAAACACCAACAACAAGAACAATCCCCACCAACACCACAACTACCAACAACACCACCACCATCACCGACAACAATAACAACAGTGTCACATAGAACAGATACACGCTGCACTTATCTATAAATACAAGGATATTGAGTTTCTTCCTGACAGGGATATACGTGTATGTGAAAGACAGGACAATATTTTTTTCTAAAATGAGGAGCACAAGTGTAAATCAGTTTCTAAGGCGCTTAGATAATATCAGTGCTTGATCAAATTCCACAAGCAAGTGAAGAGTTACGGTTGGCGGGACTAGTGAAACTTTGAAATCGTAGTTTTATGTCGATAAGAACAGAACATAACAAGAACATTAAAAACGTCAAAACAAAAAGAAGACATCATGATCTCCCTTCAAAATGGCGGTAAAACCGATTGCGTTGCTTAATGTTCCTTGCATCATATGGCCAACTTTTCCTTTAGATCTACCAACAGAAATTCGGTACAGCCATGGGTAGCCCTGTGTCCTCTAAAGTGGCCCTTCACGTTGGAAAAGAAATTGGATGATGTGCTGGAGGTGATAAAGAAAGGAAGTGTGCGGGACTTGACTCAACATCTTACAGATGTAACACTGTGGACGACACCAACAGTATCAAGTTCACCCACGAGGAGGAGAAAGACAATTCCATACCGTTCTTAGACTCTCATTGTAAAGACATCAGATGGATCCATTAAGTTACTAGTATACTGGACGCCGACAAGCACAGACCAGTATCTACATTTCCCATCCCACCACCTCCTAAACTATAAGTTGGAAGTAGTAAGGACACTGCTTGACCGATGCAACAATGTGGTCACAGAACCGGAAGACAAGATCAGGGAGGAGCAGCACATCACAACAGCGCTTAAGAAATGTGGATATCCCAAAGATCAAGAACAAGCCGGCGATAAAAGAGTAGAAAAAAACCCCAGACAGATCGAAGACCAGTGGCAACGTAGTGATACCATACGTCAACGGAATATCGGAGACCATACAACGGATATTCAAGAAACACCGAATCTTGATCAGAATGAGACCACTCCATCAGGAACAAAGACAGATTTTCCATCAACGATACTTGTAATTGTGTGTACAAGATTGGTAGTCATAACTGTGATTGGGTATACATAGGGGAAACTGGACGTAAGTTCGGAACACGCTTGAAAGAACATCGAAACGAAGCCATGTCCATTGATAACAACAGAAACTTTACTAGGTCAGAGAGAAAAACATCCGAAAGAGAAATGTATAAGAGTGCTGGACCATGTTAATAAAGAAATCATGTCATGGACTGAGAGCAGGCTAAGATCGCGGACAGAGATAGTAACAAGCGAGTGCGACAAGTGAAGAAGGCCATCCAGATAAGAAAACAAGGGCCTGCTATGAACAGACACTTTGTACGGGGAAGTAACTCCCACATCACTAATGTCACCAGTGACCAAGCTGGCAGAATGTCAGCGAAACTGTCTTGGTACAAAGAACATACCTAACATTCCTGCTAAATGAACCTTTTCAGTGATACAAGAAGGTTATATTATAATCATGTTAATCTAACACGTACGTTGACATGGAGTGTAAAATGTCATTTATTCCACTTAATTTGAACGATATTATTACAGGCTGTGACCTACAAATCTTAATCTTTAAAGTCAATTAAAATAAACTTTTCGACGGAAAATTCAATATGACATTACAAACACAAACTATTCTTCCTTGTTTTCATATTTTAAAGCTACGAGTTGTTTTAGTGAGTTTAAACAATAAAATATATACCCATTGCGTGCATAATTAAAGAACAATGAGGTTATGAACATATATGTAAAACGCCATACTATTTAATAAAACACTATATCCTGAGTATTTATGTAAACAACACAAAATAGTGCAGAGCATCAAAACAAAATTATATAATAACTTACGTATATGTCGGAGAGATATGTTTAGCTCTTTCTCTGGGAACGCCCTCGTTATCGATCAGCGAGTGTCCTAGATGAAAAAGTGACTGCACAAGTGACGAGGGTTTCCACATTTAAATACCTCTAATGTAGCCATAAGCATGACGACCTTCAAACAATTCATATTCCGGCAATGGAATGTTCTTGAACATGCATGAATACATTTATTATGCCTAAATGGGGTACATCCTGTTGATAGATCCTTGTCAATATTTACTTTGCCATGGGTCCCTATAACACTGCCAAAAACTTTAGTTATGCATTTGAAACCTTTTTACTAGAATGACTAAAGATTTGATTTTGTTCTCCAACAAATAGGTCATAGGACAATAGCAAAGATGTATAATATGTGAAACGGATCATGAGACATCACGTGATCGCATAACAATGTGTGGGTACATCCTGTTGATAGATCCTTGTCAATATTTACTTTGCCATCGGTCCCTATAACACTGCCAAAAACTGTAGCTATACATTTGAAACTTTTTTACCATAATGACTTAAGATTTGATTATCTTTTCTGTAAAGAAAACTACATCTTGCGGGACTATCATTAAAATAAATAAAGATGAAATAAATAATATGTCATCAACAACAGTGTTGTGAGTGTCACCGGGGCTGGAACAGGGTTCGAACTCTGGACCCCAAACTGTTATACTGTCGTTCTAACCAACTTTCTATTTGCTCAACGGGAATGTTTCGGCCAAAAGGTGTTACAGTTTCATCCAAAATGAAATTAAAGGGAGGTGACTGTAATACGAAAGACCAGCATGGAATTTTGTAAAGTAATGCCATGTCCTTGAAATAAAATTAAGTCCAACAAAGACTTCTCGCTACATGTGTTTTCATTAACTTCATGTGTGGAAGCTAGGGCAACGTGTTCCAATTATTATCTTTTCTTACTTGATGCTTCATTTCTTTTTTAAGTGTTAAAAACGCTTGTACATTTATACATTTTTTTGTATATTTTCATTAATATATATATATATATATAGAATTATTATTAAGTGGCCACATTGGTCCGGAATTTTATTTTTTTTTTTTAATGTTATTTCTAAACATACATACTATCAACGCATGCTGTTTAATCTGCGGTACAAACGGTTGAGTTAAAGGTTGTCAGCAAATGCTTCATTTAAAAAAAAATAAACATGTTATTGCTTACTTTATTTAACAATTTCTTTAAAAGTAAAAGAGTTAACTTAAAACTCAGATCAACGGTTTTAACAAGTTTTAATGAGATAGTAAAAATATAATCCATAGTTGAAACAACATTCCTGACGTTAAGTATATCCATAGCAAATAGATACCTGACAGTCATCATATTAGAAGGTTCATAGAAATGTATGTTAACGTCCAATTAACAGCTATGGTCATTTAAGGACGTGTTTTGATGGTGGAGGAAAACCGGAGTTCCCGGAGAAAAAAAACACTTGGCCACCGCGGCCCCTTGAGACATTTGAAAATATTTAGTGTACTTATTGTATGAAAATAGCTGGCATTGACTTGTGCAGAAAGACCAACAAAATAAACGTTTACTGCGTATGTGATCATATGACTATTTTGTCTTTTTATGACTCATCATTGTTGCTAAGTCAAACTGTTACAAGTCCATTTCAAAAGTTTCCCGAAATGTATATCAAAGGAAAAACTGCCTATAAAACCTTTATTATGTTCCAACTTACAACGTTTTGTACATTGGGTAATTGATAAACTGCGACCNATTATCTAAAACCTCACATTACCTTTTTTTACATTTTTAGATGTAGCCTATACAATGCATGCAGCATTTTATGTAACCTGAGTGATACGTCACAGAAATACCATTCCGAAGGCATCAAGCATAGTATTCCAAACGGTCTTATTATACTGACACTGGGTAACCAGTAGTTCCGGTTATCTTCATTGCTAAATACTAAGCAGGGAACACAACAACAATTTTTGAAGACTTCTGTATGTCCCGGCATGCAAACATAACCTATTCAATTTATTATTTCACAGCAAACTTGAGTTATTTCACAACAAGTATGAAACAAGTTATTTCAGCTTACATACAGCTCTTGTTGGCCCGGATGTTACTGGTGACTGGTCTTAATGTGGGAAGACACTGGGGTACCCGGGAAAAAACGCACGAGGTCGGACAGTTCATCCCATACCTTTTCACGTTAGGTCTGGGAATGGAATCCCGGCCGCCTTGTTCATATCCAATGCACCACCCAACCACCCGTGAACCCATTAAGACGCAATTAACAACGTAATAATCTAAAAGAAGCCAAACAAATTACAAAACCATCAAAGGTTTAATATGTTTATTTCATTCACTATGCTAATTTCCACTCCTTTACCAATAAACGATATATGTCATAATGCATTAATAATGACATAGGTTGTAGGCTCAGTGATTAACTTTACCTTTTTTCTGGTTGTGTTTTCTTACAAAATTACTTAATCCCTGTGATCATAGCCAGTAACGGTATTGGACCTGGTATTACACAAACACAATTCAATTCAAATTAGTTTATTATAGTGTCACGTGTAAAAGGTACAAGTATTACAATCTCTAAAATATGTCTGGTCACCCACCCTTCACCAAAATCTACTATATTAGACTTACGAGACACTCACTCTTCCCCTATCACTCTAGACTGTAACAGTATTACATATATGTACATAATTATAAATTAAAAGTTAACAGTAGCATTTTAACATTATTAGAGTTATACAATTGGCAAAGGCGTATAAGACGTGTAAGAACAAACAATTTTTAACGTGATAGCTGATCGCTTACTCCATATTGCAGACACATTTCATTTGTTGATTCTTGTTAACTTACCTTGAATAACGATCAAATTTCCTTCGATTGATATCTGATAGCTTACCCATTTCCTGTTTGATAGCTCTGTTAGCTTGCTCTGTATTACAGACGATTGTTTGGCAGCGGTATATTTTCCTGTGTCAGAAATTACCCGTTCTATTACAACATTTGGTATAGCAGACAAATTCCCCTGATTTGATAGTTGTAAATTTACCTTGTATTAGCTGATAAATGACTCTATATAACAGACAAATTGTATTTGTTGTTAGCTGTTTGCTAATCTCATAGTAGAGACATTTTACTATTTTGATAACTGTTAGCTTATCCTTATTACAAGCATATTTCTAGTATTTACATTTTACGGTCATCAAAGTGACCTGATTTTCAGCAAGGATGTATACAGTGCCGATCGTCTAGACAGCACACTGTTATATGACCGAACAGGACGCAATAAAACTGCTATATACAATGTAGGACACACAATAGGGTCGGACATTTTTAAAACACCCAGTGTAATCAAATATAATTATAATGCCTTGCATTCATGATCAATAGCTATTGCTATCATATACACTGTGTAGGAGTAAGGCATAATCAACAAATGACGTGGTTTTTTTTTATAAATATAGCAAATGTGCTTTGTGTTTTTCTAAAAGTCAATAGTACTGTTAAAGTGGAAATGTTTGCGTCTGAAAAGTTTCGCGCTAGGAATCTTTAATTTTTCACGTAAGCAATGGTTCTGAAATCCATATATTCTTTATATCTTTTATCTATTGATAAATATTCGCATGTGGATATTTTCGCGCTAATTAACCAGGTTCATATATCGCAAGCATTTCAACACCTCGAAAAATTTCCACTTTTGCAGTAACATATGCCAGGTTTTCTCCTACATGATTTAGTCACAGATTACATTACATTCCTCACCCTCATAGTAATGAAAACAAAGTTTAAGGTGAAGAGGAATTCGGGACGCCTCAGAAGTCCAGGTACGTATAGGAGCCAGGAGGTAGGCAGTAGATAATAAGCATTCTGTAGGCAGTATGCAATCACCTATGATTGTGATAAAACGGATCAAGAATAGTTCGCTTATATTGCATATGAGGTTTGCGTTATCAGTCTATTGTGAAATTCAATCAAGATAACTTATTTATACCTGCATAATATGTGGCTTAATCCATGCAGATTTATCAGGTTATTACAATAATCCACACTTTAATCAAGGTAGATGATGCAAAATGAATAGTTTTTTTTCTGATTATTCGACTTTAACGGATTATGATATGATAGACTATGACATTGGTGTCCATCTAGTCACAGTAAACATTCAATATAAACGTGTACTCTGCAAGTATTTTAAATGAAGTTTATTGTTTGAATTACATAATTTTCAGTTCGTATTTGGGAATGTATTTGCTTGAGTTGTTTGAATCCGGAGGGAAATATGACTCGTCATTATTTTAAACATCTGAGTCAATTCATCGTTTGGAAAGCATGTGGGTTATCTCATTTCGACTTTTCCTGGTTTTGTTGAAAACGTAATAACAGATGTCAGAACCGATGCAGGGAATCATACCCACCCAAAACACTTCATATGATATTGAAGCAAATTCAATATTCTATTCACCGCAAAAAAAACTGATGCAAGTGTTCTGAAAATAATGACGTCTTTTATCATCACGTTTCCAACGACGATATTTTAAAATCTAAGATTTCGTGTCTATTGTCCAAATTCTGCTTTCGTTATATACCTGTAGTGTTATATGATTTAATACTACCTACATTAACACCTATAAATGCAGCAATGTATAAAGTTCACCGCTACCTCTGTCTGCGATGTGTTTTAAGAAAACATTAATGCGTCCTTTAACATCCATTGACGAGTATGCATAAATCCGAACAATGGAGTTGAAAAGGCATGAAACTACGTAGAAAAACGTTCCCCCTCTGGAACTTAATAATCAATAAAATAATAAGTGATGTGGTGATTTGAAGAGGCATGGAATGAATATTGGCCATTTCTCTTCCTTTGAAGGTAAAATGATGAATGAACGAAAAAGACAAGTTACGTGGTGAAAGGTGGTATGAAAATAGTGCACTTTGGTAAAACAGTTTGGAGTGAAATCTTCTGCGATATTTTAAGGTGCAGCAAATGTAGGTCACCGATACCTTGTTTTGCTAGATTACACACTCTACTCCTTAGATGAAGTAAGAATGTTGACTCTTTGGGAGGATTATCCCCGAGTTTGGTCGTAGCCTTATAACTGGTTTAATTGTCACTATTTACATTAAATACAAGTTTAAGTAAAAACAATCTGTTGTAGCCAAAAACAGTAAATA